ACTAGTTACACACAGTTGCATCATAAAGTCCTGTCCCTGTCCTCCCTCATTCCCTTTCACCAGACTCAACTGGAAAAGAGGGAAACTATTCAGTGGGGATTCTACCTTACCCTCCTCATTCTGAAACTAAGCACACTAATAAAAGCTTGTTAGCCAGCCACTTCGTGCCTTTAAAACCCCCATTTTTGATCGCCAGTGTCTAAGTTGCCTGTCCCTCCCAACCCAGTGTACTGAAGATACAAGCTTGATCCGTGATATGAAGAGTCCTTCCCTTTAGGTTGGAATTTTGAGCAACTGCATCCATAAGCAAAGGTCCAATTCATCAAATTGTAGCAATTTACACGTGGCCCTCTCCCTGGATCAAACTTATTTATCTTCACCTGGTTGAGTTCTGATCAGCTAGCCATCCAAGCTAGGTCAAAGCTGCCCGTTTGGGAGCTCTTGCATGCCTACCCCACTTCATACCAGCTGGCCACTTCACTCTCAGCTCTAGCCTCCAAGTGGTTAGGTCTGTGTCCATTGGGTGTGGGAGTTCACACGTCTCCCTAAACTTCAGACCAGCCACTCCTTCCTCTTCTCTCTTTCATCTTAAGGTGCCTATGGAACATGTCCAAACTCAGCCTGTGTCTTTATTGCTACATTTCCCCCACTTCCACTCACAAGTAGAACAGAGTGGTCACCAGCAAGTATACAAGACTATTCATGTGTTCCCTTTGAGTTTAGGGTCATTGTTTATTGATGAAAAATGAAAAGTTATCTTAATAATTGGATGTGATACGTTTACATACCTCTTGGTCCTTTAACTAGATTTTTCTCTTCCTAAACATTGGACTGGTGTGGTGCTGCAGGTTAATGCGCTGGACTGCAGTGTTGGTTTGAACCATAAGGTCAGCAGTTCAAGGCCACCAGCTGCTCTTGGAAAACCCTATATAGGGTCGGAACCTACTTGACAGCACTTAACAACACCACTACCACACTGGACTGCGAACCACAAGGTTGGCAGTTCAAACCCATCAGCTGCTTCAGAAGCCCTATACAGGGCTGCTGTGAGTCAGTCCTGACTCAATGGCATTTAACAGCAACAACAACCTATACATAAAGGAGTAGTTAAGTGCTTGGCTGCTATCCAGCTCCTGTAAAGATGACAGCCTAGGAAGCCCTAAGGGGCAGTTCTACTCTGTCCTTTAGAGTTGCCTTGAATCAGAATCGACTTGACGACACACCAGAACAGCGTGTACATTAATCCATCTCTTCATGATATTTATTAGAAATATTTATTAGACTATTTCAGCTAAATGGTGGGGAAAGCATGTTCTTTTGTTATCCCTGTAGTTTTATTCTGCAGTCAGTCTCAGAGTAGTCGTGGAGAAGACTGGATTTAGAAGACAGTATGTTAACTTCACAAAACAAGTACCATTTACAGAGTCTCCTGGAGGCCTTCCAGACTGGCTAGAGTTTTGTTTCTGGGATCTTTCTGTGCCCACGTCTCTTATTTTCCCTTCCGTTTTTCCTCATTCTGATGCTGACCACTCACCCCCAGAGGCAGCTCAGACTGTTTTCTTGTGGAGCATTCTAAGTTTGTTCTCTTGTCTTCTCTGGGACTTATTTCTCTGGTCTGGCTTCAACTGGTTCTGGGCCAAAGTGATCTTCTAAAAGCTTTTCTTCACGGCCTTTCTTTCTTGGCCGTTTTCATGCACTTTGCCTGATTAGTTTTGCTGGCTCCCTGCTTTTCCAGAGAGATGTGTTCTGTTGCCTCAGTTGGAAGGCTCAAAAGTGAGCTCAAGTACAGTCTCAGTCCTCTTTTTTTTTCTTTCCCAGAAATTGGGGGGTGAATCAGGTACTCTGTTGTGAGATACTGCTGACTTTCCCGGATCCTGGTGAACTAGTTATTTAAGCACATATTTGGCAATTTGGATTGTAATAGCTAGATAGGACTTGTTGCCAAGACTGTAAATAGGTCATTGCTGTTGCCCTTTCCCCCCTTATTTTTCAGTTGCAAAATTAGAGTTGAAGAGTGACCTTGTCCATGGTCATACAGCAAGTTGGCCTTATACCTTTTGATGGAAACGTCATTTTTGTACTGCTTTTACTTCTAACACTTAACAACAACATGCTTCTAGCACAGGCACTAGCTTAACAAATAGTAGGTGTTGAATAAATAAATAAACATATCTTAACTGATTAAAATTCAGAGCTCTTGTCAGGTGGAACATGTTTTAGACAACAGCTAAAAGATGGTTCTAGGTGGCAATGGAAGGGACAGAGTAGCCAAGCTAAAAGCTGTTAGCAATTCAGAGTCTAAAGGCAGAATATTCCATTTCCAATCACATTCTAAGATAAAGTTTGGCAGAAGCATACATTGGCTATAATGTAAAGGGGAATAGAGCAAGAGGGGATAAAAGAGCATGGTTTAATCTAGAGGTAGGAGCAGGACTAGAAACAAACATCTTATTAGCTTGAAATTGTTGTTGTTAAGAGTCGTTGAGTCAATTCTGACTCTTAACAACCCTGTCTAGGGTTTCTGAGGAGCGGCTGGTGGGTTTGAACTGCTGATCTTGTTGTTAGCAGTCCAGTGCTTATCCTATAGTGCCACACCTGGAACTAGATAATGAAATTTAAAATTTTGTACCCCTCCCTCAGTACCAAACTAAAACCCAACCAAACTGGTATCATGTCACTTCTGACTCATAGTGACCCTGTATAAGATTTCCAATGTTGTAAATCTTTAAAGGAGCTGTCTCATTTTTCTTCTGGAGAGTGGCTGGTGGGTTTGAACTGCCAACCTTTGATTCCCAGTCAAGTGCTTATCTTACAGCACCACCAGGGCTCCTTCTAGCGCTGTTTCCCCCTAATTCAAGCCACTATCTGTTGTGTGCTGCAGAGTTCATTCCAATGCATAGCAATCCTATGACTGAGTAGAACTGCCCTATGGTGTGGGACTGTAGGATTAGCATTGGACTGCAAACCGTGAAGTCGGCAGTTTAAACACACGGGCTGCTCTTTGGAAACCCTGTACCAGGTTGCCATTAGTCGGAACTGACTCAATGGCACTTTTACAACAACAGTCTTCCTGAGAGTAGATCTCCAGGCCTTTTGTCCCATGAACTTCCTGCAGACCTTTTTGTTAGTAGCTGAGTGCATAACCATTGAGCGGTCAGAACCCCTTTAACTACTAGAGACGCTGTTAATGACCATTTAGGCACTAAGGGCACTGCTGCCACGTGAGCATAAATAGAACCCATGGTTCAGTCTGAGCAAAAAAACAGTTGATAGGCTAAATTCTTTCTAATAGTTTGGTGTTCCCAAATAGTCCTGCTAATTAATTGTAAAGGCAAAACCCATTTTGATGATTTTGCTGTTGGAGAAAAATATTAAAGTACCATGGACTGCCAGAACAACAAACAAATTTGCCTTGGAAGAAGTACAGCCAGAGTACTCCTTAGAAGCCAGGAAGGCAAGACTTTGTCTCACATACTTGTGACATATTATCAGAAGGGACCAGTCCCTGGAGGACATCATGCTTAGAAAAGTGGAGGGTCAGTGAAAAAGAGGGTGGACCCCCAACAAGATAGATTGGTACATTGTCAATGGGCTCAGATGTAACAATTGTGAGCGTGGTATAGCATTGGGCAGTATTTTGTTCTGTTGTGCATATAGTCGCTGTGAGTCGGCACCTAACAACAACAGCAACAACAAAACTGTCTCCAGTTGACTTTTGGACCAAAGTAGCAGCTAAGACTACACTGTGCATTATTTAATAACTCTTCAGAGAGCCCAATCACTGTTTCTGCCCCTTTAAAACAACAGTAGCAGCAACAAACACTCTACCTGTTTTTCCATTTGGGGGATAATCATTTGCATCTCATTTGGGTGCCCTGGTCTTACCCTACATTTTTTTTTTTATGCATACTTGTGGTAGGCCCTGTGCTTTGTTGTTGTTAAGTGTTGTCGAATTGGTTCTGACTCATAGTGACCCTGCATAGGGTTTCCAAGGAGTGGCTGGTGAGCTTGAGCCACCGGTCATGTGTTTCAGTCCTACCTTTCGGTCCAAAGCTTATCCTACAGTGTCATACCAGGACTCCAGGCCCTGTACTCTAGGGTTTAAGAAAGCCCATATTCAGACATATTTTACAGAGATTCTTTTATTAAGCCCTAAACAGGATAAAGACAAAAAACAAAGACAAATTCTCCTGGATGAGGGACACTATCAGCATTAGGCCAATGGATTTCAGCCAACTCACAGCCATGAATTTCATAAATACAACAGAAAGCAAAGGAACTCATTGCTAGATCACAATTGGTAATGGGTAGTAATCCATTGATTGCTGTCTAGGAGGATTATGGGAAAGGACCATGATTGGGAATACCTATATAATTGCAGCTTTAAAAAGTGTACAGGATTGGGTCTTGCATTTTGACCACCTGTTGGTCAAGATACGTGTGACTCATGACCATGCAGCCCTGAATCACAGGTAACAACAGGTGGCCATTTTCAGTAAATCATTAAGGACAGGCCCAAGCAAGTATCAAGTTCTCTGTGCAAGCCTAAGGGTAAAACTGCCCCTCCCTTGGTTTACCAGGGAGTTGTAATCTACTTCCAAACCCACTCTTCCGGAGGGCAAAACTGCCCCTCCCTAGGTTTGTTCCTGTCTTGTCTAAGCATAGACATTTGTCTGGTTTAATGGTCAGAAAGAACTCAAAATGGAGTTAGGGCTTCCACTGTAAATCAGCCTTCCACAAAAAACAAAAAAATCAGACAAACTTAGAATTTAAGCTCTAATGTAGCCTTACTCTCTGAACCTGGCTCTGACTTCTCACCTCACTGTGCTTTATGCATTTTGACTATTTCTGGTGTCAGAACTGTTTCTACCTTTACCTGTGGTAAACTTTGGGCCCAGATTTGCTTGGGGAAAGGGTGATAGTTTTTGTTTGTTCTTTGGTTCCATAAATATGTTCTCTTTTTACTAACTATACTTTTTTTTTCCTGTCTTCCCAAACAGGCCACCAAGCAGTTTCTTGAAGAGATTAACAAGTGGACAGTTCAGTACAATGTTTCTCCACTCTCTTGGAACGTGGCTGTCAAGTTCCTCATGGCCAGGAAGTTTGATGTACTCCGTGCCATCGAGTTATTCCACTCCTACCGAGTATGTTGCTTAGGGGTAGACCAGACCTGTACCAGTTGTGTTATTATGGTTCTCTGAGTGCCGTCCTCCTCCCAGAAGAAGGTTATATCAGTCTCACAAGGGCCCTTGGGTAGTTGAGCTGATTACAGTAGCTCCTGGGAAACACCACTCATGTCCCTGAGTTATGACTGTAGCACAGGATTCGACATCCACTGGCTCAGGTAGCCTTCCATTGTCATCTTAGAGACCAGATAGATAGTTCACATTTCCTAGAGTTTGAATCCTAGCCACATGCACCTTTCACTCCACTGTTTTCCAGGATTCTGGGGTGTTTAGAAACCTGCCATTCAGATGAATGCCTAGTGAGCATTTTGGTTCAGGAAGGGGAGATTTAGACCTGGAAGAAAAGAGCAGTTGTATTACCTAGAGACACTGTCTTAACATTACTTTTATGCAAATACAGTTGCATGTGCAGCATGTTACTTTATTTTGATCATTGTTTTTTAAGAGTACATTGACTTTGGTTCTCTCTTTGCTTTCTCAATTGGCAATGTCCTTGAGACTGTGTTGTTATTAAGTGCCATCAAGTCAGTCCTCACTGCTAGAGTTTACAAGGAGCAGCTGGTGGGTTTGATCTGCCAACACTGTGGTTAGCAGTTCAGTGCTGTTCCTATAGCACCACACCAGGACTCTACCCTCCCCACCTTTTTGGTTGTTGATGCAGTACTGTATGGCATGTTGCCATGAGGTTAGACTATCCATCTGAAGAGACATAAAATTTCCCAGATTAAAAAAAAGAGAGAGCGTTCCGGTTTTGGAGCTGGGACTAGCAAAGTCAGGTAGGACAAGTTCCATGGAGGAGGTGCCAAAAATCCAGAGAGGGTGATTTCACAGAGCAGCTCCAGAGCTCTGGATCTAGTATAAGGTGCTGGGTGTCGGTTTCTTGCACCTGCCAGTGGAAAAATCACAGTATAAAGGAAAATACTGAGATTCCAGAATCAGTTAGTACTTGGGACTTTGCCTGCCGAGCACTCCCACCCAGGCTGTGTTCAGAGGGTGGGGCCACAGCCAGACTGACACAGTGAAACCCGTGCCGCAACATTTGAAAAAAGAAGTGGGGGATTCTACACATCTTTTCCTCCTCTTCCCTGTCGTGCCCTCTCTTCCCAGCCTGGCCATCTTCAGGCGGTTGGGCGTGCACCCCCAAAAGGGTCCAGCATTGAGCCCACAGTTTTCCCACGACACAGAGAAGGGGAATCCCCACTGGTCCCATGGTCTGATGCTTTGGCAGCTGCTTATGACATCTGACTCTGGGACTCAGCCCTAAAGTTGACCTGGGTGGGACCCTTTACTCTTGCCTGTGGTCAGACAGCTATGGTGTTATTTTTGTTTGGGAGAGGTGGTTTTTGTCTCTGCTTTTATATCGCTTCTGTTTTTGGTCCTTTTGAACACACTTTTTTCCTGGGGGTGGGAGCTTTTTTTCTCCCTATGTTAACCAAGAAGAGACAGCAATCGTGACCATATAGCCAAGCTACAATCATACCCCATAATATCTCACCATTGGGACAGGAGCCAATACCAGGTGCTAGGTATTAACACGTGAAAAGGGAAGCCTATCTCCAGATCATACCCACCAAGAGACACTTAGGAAATTTAACACAGCAACATGCATCCATTTAAGCATTAAAAATCCACCTAACTATTGAAAATGACCAGGAAAACACAACAAAAGATCTCAAAACATGTCCAAAAACAGAAAAGAGTAACTGAGACAAATGAGCTGGAGGCACACACAGTATTTCCAGTAGAAGAGCAGGATTTGGATATGCCTGAGAAGGAATTCAGAAGAATAATACAGAAACAAATACAAATGTTCCAAAAAGGGATGGAGGAAAAAAAGGAAGAAGTCAGGAAAGTGCTAGCAGAAAAAAAAGATTAAAAAAATCTGAAGAGAACCTAAGATTCATGCTGAAAAACATGAAGAGGAATAACTTAAGAATTATTGGCATCCTGGAACAGGAAGAATCACAGACGTCCACAGAAGAGATAGTTGAACTACTGGAAGAAAATTTCCCTAATATCTTGAAGGATGAGAAGATAAACATTCAAGAAGCTGAATGAACTCCAGGAAGGACAGACCCCAAACGAAAATCACCAAGACATATCAAGGTCTCCAAAATCAAAGACAAGTAGAAAATCCTAAAAGCAGCCAGGGAAAAGAGAAGTGTTACCTATAAAGGAAGCAAATCAGATTAAGCTCTGACTTCTCAGCAGAAACTATGCAGGCGAGGCAATGGGAAGACATATATAAAACCCTAAAAGAAAAAAACTGCCAACCAAGAATCGTCTATCCAGCAAAACTGTCAATCAAATACGATACTGTAATCAAAATATTTCAGATAAACAGAAGTTAAGAGATTTTGTCAAAACCAACCCAGTGCTTCAAAACATCCTAAAGGGAGTTCTTTGGACTGAAAACCAGCAATAACAGGCAACAACCAGAGATTGACAGTCATGGGGCAACACCACCTGGAACTCAGTCAAGCGATAGCAGGGTTCAGAACAGAACAGAATTACAGCAATGAACTCAGAGGACCTGTGAGGTCCACCAAAGATCAAAATATTCATAGTGTCAAAGAAGGGAAAAACATAACAGAGATCTAGGTGGTGAGGAGGTCAGGTGGATCACAGGATACAATAGACTGTCTTAAATGGAGGGAAAGTTAATAGACTATAGGGAAACCCCAATGAAAGTTAATACTTCACAATGTACCATGAAAATGAAGATCCAATCAGAAGAAGGAAATATGAAAACAAAGAAGAAATTGACAAGAAGTAGCACAAAAAACAAACTCAGCAGAAGAAGGCATGCAGAACAAAGGAATGAAGAGCACCACAAAAAATTAACATGACAGCAATTAATTCATACCTATTGATAATTACTCTGAATGTCAATGGATTAAATGCACCACAGAGGAACTAAACAGCACAATCAACCAGCTTGACCTCATACATGTGTACAAGGCATTCAACCCAATAACGGCACAATGTACATTCTTTTCCTGTGCAAATGGAACATTCTCCAGAATTGACCATGTGTTAGGTCACAAAGCAAACCTTCATAAATTTAAAAATTTCAGAATACTATAAAGCATCTATTCAGACTACGATGCTATAAAACTAGAAATCATCAATAAGACCAAGGAAATGAAGTCAAATACATGGAAATAGAATAATACCCTGCTGAAAAGCGACTGGATAGTAGAAGAAATCAAACGTGAATTCATAAAGTTCCTAGAAACAAATGAGAATGAAAACAAAACATACCAAAATCTTTGGGACATGGCGAAAGCAGTGCTGAGAGGACAATTCATTGCGATAAATGCACACATCCAAAAAGAAGAAAGAACCAAAATTAACACATTGACTCAGCATCTCCAGCAATTAGAAACAGATCAACAGAGGGAACCTACAGTCACACACACAAAAAGAAATAATAAAGAGCAGAGCAGAAATAAATGAGTTGGAAAACAGAAAACTATAGAGAGAATCAACAGGACAAGACGCTAGTTCTTTGAAAGGATTAATAAAACCTACAAACCATTGGCAAACCTAACAAAAGAAAAGAGGGAGAAGACACAAATAACATGCATTAGAAACCACATGTGTGATGTCACAGCAGAGCTAAAGGAAATCAAAAGGGTAACTAACAGAATACTATGAAGAGTTGTATTCCAACAAATTTGAAAATTTAGATGGATACATTTTTAGAAAAACACGGCCTACCTAAACATACACACAGTGAAGTAGAAAACCTGAACAGACCATAACAAAAGAAGAAATTGATCAGGTCATCAGAAAACTCCCAACCAAAAGAAGTCCAGGCCCAGATGGCTTCACTGAGAGTTCTACCAAACATTCAGGGAAGAGCTGTCACCAATGCTACTCAAATTATTCCAAAATATAGAAGAGGATGGAAGTTTTCCTAATACATTTTATGAAGCAAGCATAAACCTCATACCAAAACCAGGGAAGGACGTCACTAAGAAAGAAAAGTATAGAACAATATCCCTCATGAACATAGATGCAAAAATTCTCAACAAAAACCTAGCCAACAAAATCCAGCAGCACATCAAAAAAATAATACATCATGAACAAGTGGGTTTTATAACAGGGATGCAAGGATGGTTCAACATTAGCAAAAAACAGTCAATACAATTAACCATATAAATAAGACAAAGGAAAGGAACCACATGATCATATCAATCAATGCAGAAATATCTAGGAATAATTGTAACCAGAGAAACAAAGGACTTATACAAAGAAAACTACAAAACACTACTACAAGAAACCAAAAGAGATTTAAAAAAGTAGAATATACCAGGCTCCTGGGTAGGAAGACTTAACATTGTGAAAATATCAGTACTGCTCAAAGCAATTTACACGTATAATGCAATCCTAATCCAGATTCCAATGACATTCTTCAAAAAGATGGAAAAACAGTTACAAACTTTATATGGAAAGAGACCCAGGATAAGCAAAGCACTGCTTAAGAAGAAGAACAAGGTTGGAAACCTATCACTCCCTGATTTTAAAATTTACTACATGGCTACAGTGGTCAAAATAGCCTGGTGTTGGTGCAATGAAAAATACATTGATCAATGGAACAGAATCAAGAATCCAGAAATTAACCTGTCCACATAAAGCCAGCTGATTTTCGACAAATTGCCTAGGAATATTGCATGGGGAGGAAATAGCCTCTTTAACAGATGGTGCTGGCAGAACTGGAAAGTGATATGCAAAAGATTGAAACAAGACCTTTACCTCATGCCCTACACAAAAACCAACATGGATAAGAGACCTAAATGTGAATCCCAAAATTATGAAAGTCATCAATGAAAAAATAGGGACAAATGTGAGGACTCTAATTAAGGGCATACACAGAGTACCAAACATTTTGAAAGCTACACCAATGAAAGTAGACAAAATAGATGATTGGGACATACTAAAAATTAAAAACTTATGTTCATCAAAAGAGTAAAAAGGAAATCCACAGAATGGGAAAAAATCTTTTGCAACGACACATCAGACAAGGGACTCATTTCTAAAATATATAGGAAACTACAACACCTCTACAAGAAAGAGACAAACAACCCAATTAAAAAATGGGCACAAGACATGAACAGATACTTCACCAAGGAGGAGATCTGGGCTACCAACTAACATATGAAGAAATGTTCATGATCACTAGCCATTTGTTGTTGTTATTATGTGCCATGGAATCGGTTCCGATTCATAGCAACCCTGTACAGCGAGGCTGTAAATCTTTACATGAGCAGAAAGCCTCATCTTTCTCCCGTGGAACAGCTGGTAGTTTCGAACTGCTGACCTTGAGGTTCACAGCCCGATTCGTAACAACTGCACTACCACTAGCCATTAGAGAGATGCAAATCAAAACAACAATGAGATACCATCTCACACCAGCAACAACAGCAAAGATCAAAAAAGTTGTTGTTGTTAAGTGCCGTTGAGTCGGGTCCGACCCATAGCAACCCTGCGTAGGATTTCTGAGGAGTGACTGGTGAGCTTGAACCACCAGCCTTGCAGTTCAAACAGCTTTACAGTCTGTCGCATTAACTCACAGCACCATACCAGGACTCCTTGAAGAGGTAAAAGAGGGGAATAATGTTAAGATGCTTGGCTATCTTTTGAATCTTGGTTTCCCTTGCCTACCATTGTAAAATAGACACTTGAGGGGGAGAGAAAGGAATACCCGGAATCATCACTACAAAAAGCCCGTATGTCCGTCTTCAGCCTATAACTGATTGGAATACCTTAAAGGGGGCTAGAAGTTGCCCAGTGAAAGAGGCTTCCTGTAGAGCCTTTACATTGCACAAGACCATAAATGGAATCCAGAACCCCATCCAGAACCAGCTGAGGTAGGAAATTTCCACTGGAAAGGATGAGTAGACCAGTCAGGAGCGACTAAAAGAACTAAAGATACTTTGTGAAAGAAAGACCGGCAGTAAAAATCCGAAACAATCACTGCAGTCTGATTACTACAAAAACAAGCTGTTCACCCGGGAGCCATCAAGGCAAGTGGTCGGGATCCCTCAGAGCAAACCCCCTTCCAAGACTGAGACTCAAGGGGAATACATGAGCAGACATGTGGTTTGGCTGGTGACCACATTGGTCACCGATTAGGGGAAGAGGGGAAAAACCAGCAATGAGCTAAGCCCAACCACATTCAATAGACCCCGGTGAACCTGGGTGGAGACCTGAATGGCTAGCAGTATGGCAAAATCCAGGGACTCCTGGGCCCAGAGGCAGTGACATGGCCATGGAGGACTGGAGCGGAGAGTGATGCATCCAGTTGATGTGGGGTGAGGGAGATGCACAAGAACACCCTTACTTGCAGGTAGTACCCACCTGACCTGACTTCGATGGCTGGATGATCAGAACTCGACTAGAAGAAGAAAGAAAAGGGAGAGAGAAAAAAAGAGTAACCTGCTACAATTTGATGAACTTTACCTATACTTATGGATGTGGTAGCTAAAAAAAAGGATCAAGGTCGACTCGGGGCAGCCAAGCCCTGCAGATTAAAAAATTCAACCCATACCGAAGACTGTAACCATTGATCTTCATCACCTGTGAGATTGAGGCAGGAAGCGTATACCAGGTATCCTCAAAGGAGCATATCTAGCCTTTCAAAGAAAATATGGAACAGTTTATTTTTCAAGCTAAAATTGACCAATAGGCAGAGGAAAATTCACTGACAAAAACTCAAGATGGAGAGGAGTGGTTGACTCTGCAGTCCAGCAGCGGAAGTCCTTGGGACCATCAAGTGAGATGAATGAATGAAGAGCGAGAACCTACACAGAGAGGCAGTGATGCCAGGGATGGAGACAAAGATGATGACGTGGGCAGATGGAGCAGCTGGGGACACTGGACTCAGGGAGGGAGAAGGGCTATGTGTTGGCGGCTGGGGGGGGTGGGGGTGGCGGGCATGTCCCTTTGGTTATTTGATGATGCTTGGAGGTAATTGTAATCATTGCAGTGAAACAAAATACGATGGGATGAGTGTAAAGTTGATGTTCTCCAATGTAAACCTCACAATAAAAACTTAAAAAAGATTCTGGAGGAATAGTTGAAAACTAGGAAAACCAGTGTTTTGTTTATTTGTCAATGTAGTATACAAAGATAGAGACTGTTTCATGAAAAAGAAAAGTGAATGGTCATTCTTTGTCATGTAAAAAGATTGAAAATATTCACTGGGCTCAGTGACAGAGGTCACAGGACAAAAGTCCTTGGCAAAGCTTCCAGTGGAGTAGTTTAATTTTGAGGAAACCAGTACAGTGGGAAGGGAAGATGAGAACTGAAGGTGAATTGAAAGAATCTGGCCAAAGAGGTAGGGATATGAGGTCATAGTAACTTGGTCATAGTAACTTGGATAGGACATAGAGTGGGGGTGAACACTTTTAATTTTTTAAATGTTTACTGTGAATTATGTGATAGTTTACATGGGAAAACATTACCTTTACATTCATCCTATCGTATATCGTTTCAGTACCATGGTTACAATCCCCTACATGCATCATCAACCAATCAAAGGATATACCCTGAAAGCCTGCCCCCACACCCCCCCACACCCCGGGTCATCAGCACACAGCCCGTCTCCCTCTCTGGGTCTAGAGTCCCCAGCCGTTCCATCTCCTACGTCATTGTCTCTTCCTCCATCTGTGGCATCACTGCTTCTCTGGGTAGGGTCCCGCACTTCGCTCTTCTCCCTTGATGGTTCCAGGGCCTCCTCTCCTGGACTGCAAAGTCAGTAACTCCCCTACTTTTGCTACAAAACGTCCACCTTTACATGTCCAACCCTCACAGTCTGCCCTGATAACAATTATTCACTACTGTACCACAAGGGACCTATCCCTATCGCCTTTCATTAGCCCCATCCAGACAGATTGGATACTACTCAGTGGAGAGTCTACCTTCCTCCACGCCCTCTGGATCTAGGCTCCCTCTTGAAAACTTGTAAGCCAGTCACTTCTTGCCTTTGTAGCCACCCCCATTTTGGGTAGCCAATGGCCAGGTTGCCCATCCCTGCCGACTCTGTATGGTGTGGGTGGGAACGATCTAGACGTGAAAACTCTTGTTAAGATAGGCAAGGCCTGATTCTGAGGGTGGGAAGGATTTTTAGGTCTCTGTGTCAATATCCAGGTGCAAAGTCAGTAATGCTGCATATTCAGGCACTTTGGCTTCCACCCTAACCAGTGCACATTGGTTGGTTGTCTAGGTTGGGATTCTCAATGAGTCAGAGAAAAAAATCTGTACCAAGGGTACTGATAAGATGGCATTGAACAGAATTCTAACTACATTCAGCTGGCCTGGATGGGGTTTTGCCAAGGAATTCATGGTTCAACTCATGTACTTCTCATAAAATTCCTGAGTATGCAGTATTTTCACATTAATTCATCTTGCTGTACTTCATTTTTAGGAAACACGAAGGAAGGAAGGCATTGTGAAGCTGAAACCTCATGAGGAACCACTCCGTTCTGAGATCCTCAGTGGAAAGTTCACCATCTTAGTGAGTCTTTATAGACACTTATTGTATGTCTTGCCACTTCTTTTATAGCTGTTGTCCTGGTTTGATTTTGTTCCTAGTTATCACAGCTTAAGAAAGTATTAACAGCCAGGAATAGGTATGAAGCACCTGTGCATTATGGCACAAAATGATGGAGAATTAGTAGTTTACAGTAGTTTGCTTCATTGGTCCACTAAGTTTAATCAAGACCTTTGGGATGGGTGTACAGTGTTCCAGAGACCGATTGTTCCTTACCTCATTTGAGCTTTACACTCAAAAGTGTCGTCAGTCTTTCAGGTAAGTTTATGATGATACTTCTGTGGCAAAACATGGTCCTAGCTATGGTTTTCCCATGCTGTTTATTTCATTTGCCATCCTGCCTGGGAAGTTAGCTATGCAACCAGTGTAGAACTGTCCTTTGAACTGTCTATAGTTGAAATGCAAAGAGAATGTGGTTTTTTACTACCACAGGAATATGTGATTTCAAAGAATCAAGCACGGGGTTATGGAAACGTTCTTTGCTTTCTGGAGAGATGGATGCACGTCAAGGAAATATTCCTAGCATCTATTCTTCTCTTCACACAGTGAACCTTTTCCCACAATATGAGAATCCTTAATGACTGTTGTGGTTTCCTGTTTTGATTTCTAAAAGTTTCTTGTTTTCTTTGCTTTAGAATGTTCGGGATCCAACAGGAGCCTCCATTGCCCTCTTCACCGCTAGGTTGCATCACCCCCACAAGTCGGTCCAACATGTGGTACTTCAGGCTCTGTTTTACTTGCTAGACAGAGCTGTGGATAGGTGAGTGTTGAGATTATTTTTTAGGTGGTCTGCACATCCAGATAGGAAAGTGATAGTCCTTGACCCAAACCCAGTGCCTTCACTAGGCTCCTAATGTGTACCCTACCAGTGCTATGAATAGGAAACAGTTCGTGTCCGTACAGGCTTGGCATGTTTCTAGGTACTTTCAAGGTAGTGGGCATTTCTGTATCTTTACCTGCTTGTCTCAATTTCAGGATAATAGAAGCCAGTTACTAGCAATCCTCAGTGTATGAAGAATGCCTTACTAGAGAGGGGTGAGGGAAAGATGCCCTGTGCTGGTTCTTATTGTCCATTCTCCCCTGATAGTTGATTATCAAAATATTCTGGGTCTTCGGTTTCTTTTAGTTCAGGGGATTTTGATAACATTCAAGGGAGAAGAGTCCAAAAGCATTAAATTAAACAAAATTATAAATAAAGGGAGGTAAGCAAAAAGCACCAGCTCAGGTCATCTTTCCACATTCTCTAAAGTAAGCAGTGCCATTCCTGTTCTATAAACAAAGCCCCAAGAAGTGATA